CTCCTCCTCCTCCTGCACTCCGCCTCCTCCTCCTCCTCCTCCTCCTCCTCATGCCTCCTCCCTCCTCCTCCCTCCTCCTCCTCCTCCCTCCTCCTCCTCCTCCGCCTTCCGCCTCCTCCTCCGCCATCCTCCCTCCGCCTCCGCCGCCTCCGTCCTCCTCCTCCTCAGCCTCCTCCTCCGCCTCCTCCTCCTCCGCCTCTTGCCTCCCCGCCTCCTCCTCCTCCTCCTGCCTCCTCCTCCTCCTCTCCTCCTCCGCCTCCGCCTCCGCCTCCTCCTCCTCCGCCTCCGCCTCCGCCTCTCCGCCTCCCCCTCCTCCTCCTCCTCCTCCTCCTCCTCCTCCTCCTCCTCCTCCTCCTCCTCCTCCTCCTCCTCCTCCTCCTCCTCCTCCACCTCCTCCTCCTCCTCCTCTCTCCCGAGCCCTCCGTGGATGTATCGTACGTGGTGTGGTGGAGTGGAGGGGCTGATGTGGCTGGGCGTGTGGGACTGTATCAACCAACTGCTTTCAATCTCTCCCCAAAACCCCCTCTGCTGCTACACATGCCCTCCCCACAGCTATCTTACGTGGTGGAGGTGGAGGGGCTGAAGTAGCTGGCCGTGCTTTACTCCATGCACTGGCCTCTCACATCCTCTCCCTCTGCGGCTCTGCCCCGTTCATCATCTTCCCACCCGCAGCTATCGTACGTGGTGGTGGAGGGGCTCATGTGGCTGGGCGTGCGGGACTTCATCAACAGTTTCCGCAAGAAGCTCAAGCTGCCGCCCATCCCGCTGCGCAACCACCCTAAGATGCGCATCCCCTTTGGCTACATCTGGAGCCCCACGCTCGCCCCCAAACCCCATGGTGAGACACTTTAGGATTTCTGCGATGTTTCAGAGCCTCACGCTCTCCCGAAGCTGTGTATCCGTGTAGGCAATCTGATAGACGTGACGTGATGGGGTTTTGGTTCCTCAACCCGGCAGGCCACTGCCCGCTCACCCCTCTCACACCCACCATCTCTGCTTCCTTTCCTTTTCCTTGTAGCAACTTGTCATCCGCCCCTGCTCTCTGAACCCCAACCGCCAGACTGGGGCAACCTGATAGACGTGGTGGGCTTCTGTTTTCTCAACCTGGCGGACCACTACTCGCCCCCAGCGTACATCCAACAGTTTCTTGACTCCGGCCCGGCCCCCGTCTTCATCGGCTTTGGTAGCTTGGTGCGTCTTGCATCGCCTCCCTTTCATTTGAAAAGGTAGTCCGGTCCGGTCAGTCTCATTGTAACAATCCTAGAAACGGTCTGCCACCTTCTTTGCACCTTCCCTGCACCTGCCATGCAGATTCTCACGAACTGCACTTGCATGGCTGGTCTGTACAGAGCAGTCGTCTTTTCAGCTGTTCGTCTTCCCACTGGGTTGCACAGGTCAACGGGAATTCCGCTCTCTCTGCCTCTCACCATCTGCTCCTCCATCCCCCACAACCCCATGCTCTCCCTCCCCCCCTAGCTGCCATCAGTCCCCAATCCACCCCCCCTCCCCCCTCCCCCTCCTCTTAACCCCCCCCCCCCCCCCCCCCCCCCCCCCCCCCCCCCCCCCCCCCTTCCCGCCCTGCAGCCGGTGTCAGACCCCAAGGGGCTGACACAGAAGTTGGTGGAGGCATTGCAGCGCACGGGGCAGCGCGGGATACTGCAGGAGGGCTGGGGGGAGCTGGGCAAGAGTGAGTGCCGTGGGGTGGGCGCGCGCGGCAAGAGTGGGTGCTGTGGGGTGGGGTGGGCAACCATGGGTGGTGCGGTTGGAAGAGGTGGGCACGGTTGAATGCTAGGATGCACATCCAAATCATATGTGTTTGAATGATACGATGCACATCCATATCATATGTGCTTGAATGCTACGATGCACATCCATGTGCTTGAATGCTACGATGATGCACATGCATGTCATTTGTGTGCGCACATTTCAATGTGCTTGGTATATCTGAGAACAAAACAGGTATTTCGAGCCTTGAACTCTGGAGTTCACATCCTGAGGCGCCTGAGATGAGATGGTGTGTGTGTGTCATGACCCCCTACACGCCCCGGCCCACCCCTGCCAGCTCACTCTTTGTATCTCCTCTCCTTCACCCTTCTCTCGTTCTCCCCCACGCTAGTGGAAGCACCCAACCCCAACGTGCTGGTGATCGGCAACTGCCCGCACGACTGGCTCTTCCCTCGCTGTCGGGCTGTGCTGCACCATGGGGGGGCGGGCACCACTGCTGCTGGGCTCAAGGCAGGGGTGAGTGGGGCAAGACGGGGGTGCGTGGCATGCCTTTCTTGTTACAAGTGTGGGTGGTGTGCATGCCAGCGTGCAGCCATGCAGGGCTGTGCTGCACCATGGGGGGGCGGGCACCACTGCTGCTGGGCTCAAGGCAGGGGTGAGTGGGGCAAGACGGGGGTGCGTGGCATGCCTTTCTTGTTACAAGTGTGGGTGGTGTGCATGCCAGCGTGCAGCCATGCAGGGCTGTGCTGCACCATGGGGGGGCGGGCACCACTGCTGCTGGGCTCAAGGCAGGGGTGAGTGGTGTATGCATGGTTGCAGTGGTGGGGCAAGGCAGGGGCGAGTGAGTGCTGTGTGGGGCAAGGCAGGGGCGAGTGGGGCAAGGCAGGGGCGAGTGGGGCAAGGCAGGGGCGAGTGGGGCAAGGCAGGGGCGAGTGGGGCAAGGCAGGGGCGAGTGGGGCAAGGCAGGGGCGAGTGGGGCAAGGCAGGGGTGAGTGGGGCAAGCGGGGGGTGAGTGGGGCAAGCGGGGGGTGAGTGGCTGCTGTAGTCTTGTGGCAGTAGCGAGTGCCGTCGCTAGTGTGTGTGTGGGCGTGCATGCATGCATGCAGCAGGTGCGGAATGGACCCCCATCCTTCCTCCCTGCTCCCTCCCCCTCTCTCTTCCCCACCCCTGCTCCCCTGTCTCCCCCCCCCCCCCCCCCCAGTGCCCCACCACCATCATCCCCTTCTTCGGCGATCAGCCCTTCTGGGGGGCGAGCGTGCATGCAGCGGGGGTGGGTCCCGAGCCCATCCCCATCGGCGCGCTCACACTCGACAGGATCGTTGCTGCCATTGAGTTCATGATCCGAGCTGAGGTGAGCATGACATGAGGGGTGGGAGAATTGATGTTTTGGGGACGAGGTGAGATGAGGAGGGGTGGGAGAGTTGATGTTTTGGGGACGAGGTGAGATGAGGGGTGGGAGAGTTGATGTTTTGGGGACGAGGTGAGATGAGGGGTGGGAGAGTTGATGTTTTCGGGACGAGGTGAGATGAGGGATGGGAGAGTTGACGTTTCGGGGACGAGGTGAGATGAGGGGTGGGAGAGTTGACGTTTCGGGGACGAGGTGGGATGAGGGGTGGGAGAGTTGACGTTTCGGGGACAAGGTGAGATGAGGGGTGCGAGAGTTGACGTTTCAGGGACGAGGTGAAATGAGGGGTGGCCGTGTGTGTCTGTCCGAGCGGAGGCGTGTGGGAGTATTGCTCGTCCAGGTGTTTGTCACACCTGGACAAGATTGGGGCAGCCACCTGAGTAATCTCCTGCCAGGTGGTGACAGCAGTGAGGGAGCTGGTGGGCAGGATAGGCAGGGAGGACTGAGTGAATGATGCAGTGGAGGCGTTGCTTGGCCCCCGCTCTGTATGCGTAGAAGCAAAAGAACAATGCCCCCCACATGAAATTAAACTCGCATGCGCTGAGACGAATTCTGAGGCGTGTGCGTGCATGCCTCTCCAGTGGAAAAAATCTCCCTCATTTCTTCCATCTCCCCTGTGGCAGGTGGTGGCAGCAGCAAGAGAGCTGGCAGGGTTGATTGCCAGGGAGGACAGGGTGGACGGAGCCGTGCAGGCGTTTCACAAGCACCTGCCGCCGGGGTTCCAGTCGCAGCAGCACTGCACACCGTGGCTCGAGGCCTCTCCCAGTGGGCACGGGGACTATTGGGGGGAGTGCGCGTGGTGGTTGTGGAGCTTCTGGGGGGATGCAGAGGAGGAAGAGGCGGAGGAGGGGAGCAGCCTGCCTCAGAAAGTTGCTCCCAGTGACCAGTTGGACTCGGGTGGGGAGTGTGGCTGCTGCTGCTGGAGCTGTCGCGGCTGCTGCTGGAGCTGTGGCAGCTGCTGGTGAGAGAGTGGAAACATAAAAGTGTTGCAAGTTAGATACGAAGGAGGCTGTGCTGGTTCGTGATTTGCTAGGCAGCAGTCACCGCAGTGAGGCAGCATGCAGTTGCTGGTCCCTTATGTACGCGGCTGCAACTGTGACTCGCAATGCGGGTCACGATGCTAGGATGAGATGATACGTGAGGCTTCTGGCGTGAGGCTGCTCCCAGCTAAAGCCCATCCCTCACCTCCCCATTCCTCATTCCCGCAGGTGGGGCGTCTGAGCGACGTGTCCCACTTGGCTGGGCTGGTCTGGTACGACGACCGGCGCGAGCGGCTGCTTGTGTTGGCCTGCGGAGGCCCTAAGCGATCCCGCGTCGGCCCAGGGGGAGCGGCTGCGCCAAGGCTCTCTCACACGTGACAAGATTGCGCCAGCCATCCAGTTCATGCCCGGGGCGAGGTGAGATGAGGGCTGGCAGCGCTTCTTATTTGGGAGGAGGTGTGCCTGTTTGCATGTTCACCCTTCTGCCTGCTGCCAGCTGCCTGCCCCCCTGCCCAGCAACGCCTCAAGTCTTGTGATAATCCACTGAGTTGGACGCTTTTTATCACCACAACCGGGTTGAGTTAGCAAGAGAGACGTGCAAGCAATCTGTACGGCCTTGGTTGTTCCCCCTGCCCACAAACCCCCTACCCTTCTCCAGGTGTAGGGGTTGGCAGGGCTGGCTCTTGGGTGCACTCAGTCAAATCCGTTTGTAAGAGCTTTCGGACGCCTCAAACCTCTGTTCACCCCTTCCGCACCCTCCTCCCTCTTTCTCCAGGTGGAGGGGTTGGCAGAGTTGGCTCTTGGGTGCACTCAGTCAATCCCGTCCATGAGACCCACAATGGAACAGGTGAGTGGCAGGGGAGGGGGACTGAAAGCCTGTAAGGTTTGAAGTAAACCGAAATCGTGTGTATGCTTGCGCTGAACTAGTGTACAATTTCAGCCTAGAGTGGCATTTGTGTTGACATTGTGTTGTGTTGGTTTCATGTGCAGGCAGCAGGTGGGGGACACGCTCTGGTAGTAGCTTTCACATCACTGTTTGTTTGTTTTGTTAGTAGAATGCTGCTTTGATAGTAGCTCTGGTAGCACATGGTGGTGGTGGTGGTACCGGTACCACGGGTTGTACTGTAGCAAGCTTTCTGCGCATTGTATGGTCACATCACATGAGACCGATTGGGGTTACCCAAATGATCTGTCCAGCCAGCATATCTCCAGCGCAACGAGACTGATTATCAAACAGGAGACCCTGAGAGAATTGTTCGATCAGGTGCTCTACTTGTTGGAATAAATAAAAGTATGGTATAACAAAAGTAACAAGCACCAGGATACATACCGGTACGTGGGGAAATTTCGGGGGAAAGCCCCCCCAAGGCCCCCCTACCCCCCAACGCCCCTCACAGCCCCTCACAGCCCCTCGAAGCGCCCCAAAAATTTCTGGGACGGCCGCAAGCATCCTGGGAGGGGAGCATGGCTCATGCGTATCTCCTCCCCATTCCTGCTTCTGCCTCTACTTGTCTTATCCCTCCCGTAGCTGCACAGGGAGGAACTCAGAGAGCGCGGGAAACGCATCTACTCACTGTTTCACCTTCTGCTTCTCTCCCCCTCTCATATCCCCAACCTGGCCCAACTGTAACTTGTAACCCGCCTCCCCTCCCCTTTCCTTTCCCCCCCTGGGCCCGCCTGGCCAGGGCATGGCCAGACTGGCCCGGGCGTATATAATAACAAGCACATACATCTACATTTCCTCGGCCATCATGTTCTTAAGTTATCTGTCATTCTACACGTCACACACAGCAAATATCCTCATGTTGTCGAATGGAGAAAATGGCACCTGCGCAAGGGAGTGGGGAGGGAAGTTGGGTGGGGAGGGGCAGAGCAAGTGAGCGGGGGGGAGCAGAGCAAGTGAGCGGGGGGGGCAGAGCAAGGGAGCGGGGGGAGCAGAGCACGTGAGCGGGGGGGGGCAGAGCAAGTGAGGGGATGGCAGGTGTGAGGGATGTGGCATGGTGTCTATGCTCTGAGGCGACTCACAACGCACCTGGGGCTGATTTGGTGGGGCATGCGGCATGGCATGGCGCTGCGCTCCCTCCCTTGCCCATCTGCCTGCAACCCCACCTCCCTTGAAACCCATGCCTTCTTCTCCCCCCTCCCTCCTCCCTCTCCCTCCCTGGCCCAAACCAGACCTGCACTCCCACCCTCCCCCCGCATATATAATAACAAGCACATGCATTTATGGAAAATGGGAGTGAGGTGCCTGATGCATGGGAAATGGGAGTGAGATGCCTGATGCATGGGAAATGGGAGTGAGATGCCTGATGCATGGGAAATGGGAGTGAGATGCCTGATGCATGGGAAATGGGAGTGAGATGCCTGATGCATGGGAAATGGGAGTGATATGCCTGATGCATGGGAAATGGGAGTGAGATGCCTGATGCATGGGAAATGGGAGTGAGATGCCTGATGCATGGGAAATGGGAGTGAGATGCCTGATGCATGGGAAATGGGAGTGAGATGCCTGATGCATGGGAAATGGGAGTGAGATGCCTGATAGATGGGAAATGGGAGTGAGATGCCTGATGCATGGGAAATGGGAGTGAGATGCCTGATGCATGGGAAATGGGAGTGAGATGCCTGATGCATGGGAAATGGGAGTGAGATGCCTGATGCATGGGAAATGGGAGTGAGATGCCTGATGCATGGGAAATGGGAGTGAGATGCCTGATGCATGGGAAATGGGAGTGATATGCCTGATGCATGGGAAATGGGAGTGAGATGCCTGATGGATGGGAAATGGGAGTGAGATGCCTGATGCATGGGAAGTGGGAGTGAGATGCCTGATGCATGGGAAATGGGAGTGATATGCCTGATGCATGGGAAATGGGAGTGAGATGCCTGATGCATGGGAAATGGGAGTGAGATGCCTGATGCATGGGAAATGGGAGTGAGATGCCTGATGCATGGGAAATGGGAGTGAGATGCCTGATGCATGGGAAATGGGAGTGAGATGCCTGATGCATGGGAAATGGGAGTGAGATGCCTGATAGATGGGAAATGGGAGTGAGATGCCTGATGCATGGGAAATGGGAGTGAGATGCCTGATGCATGGGAAATGGGAGTGAGATGCCTGATGCATGGGAAATGGGAGTGAGATGCCTGATGGATGGGAAATGGGAGTGAGATGCCTGATGCATGGGAAGTGGGAGTGAGATGCCTGATGCATGGGAAATGGGAGTGATATGCCTGATGCATGGGAAATGGGAGTGAGATGCCTGATGCATGGGAAATGGGAGTGAGATGCCTGATGCATGGGAAATGGGAGTGAGATGCCTGATGCATGGGAAATGGGACTGATGCATGGAAACTGGGACTGGTGCATGGGAAATGGGACTGATGCAAGGGAAATGGGACAAGTGCATGAGAAATATTGAATATCCCTGCTGCAAGGAACATGGGAACCATATGCCGTTGCTATGAAAACAACCATATGCCGTATTCATGAAAACTGAGGAAACCCTATCCCTGCTGCAGGAAACATGGGCATTAGATGACTGATTCTTTGTATGTGGAAAGAGGGAAGGGTAAGATGCGAGGGAAATGGGAACTAAAGTACGGCATTTGAAGCCCTCAGCACTTTGCGGCACCGTGTGATAACCATGACCCTTATAACAACGGGCAACCGTGTGATAAATATAAATCCTCCTTTACAATGTATATAAAATCAAGATACAAGGCTTCCAAGATAAATCTAATCCCACCAAGAGATAATCTAGCCTTGATAGTACTCTTGAAGCTTGAGAGGAGAAAGAGAGCTAGAAGAAGGTTGATGAAGCTTCGCCGTTGGTTGACTCGCTGTTGCTTCGTTGCTATTTGCTTCGTTTACAATTCGATGTTCCGACACATCAGAAGCCCTCAATACTAAAGTACGGCATTTGAAGCCCTCAGCACTTTGGAAATACTAGTGTGTGAGTCTCAAGGTGCAACTCTCAAAGCAACACAACATAGGTATGCATGTGGATGTGAACCTTTAACCAGTAACCCAGAAAGTGACTTAATGCATGTGCATATGTGGACCACGCATAATATATGTAGAGCTTATTCATGCAGCAGGAAGCAGCCAATATCAGAAACCCAGATTTCAGTTTGAATGTACATTATACATGAATATGTACACAATTGTGCAACAATAGATTGAGCAAATGTCTATTTCCACCTAGGAATCTGAGATAATTGTTTTGTAAGGCTGTTTGTGCAGCCTGACTTATTTACCCACTTGTCCTCCTTGTTCTTCCCTGCGACCCCTTCTGCACTGCTTGCCTCAGAGGCGCCACACGAGCAGCACTGGCACTGGCCGTGGCAGGAGCTGCTGTTGGTGTCAGCAGGCTTGCAAGCTGCAGCCTTGACTGCTGGCTTGGGAGCTGCAGCCTTGACTGCTGGCTTGGGAGCTGCAGCCTTGACTGCTGGCTTGGGAGCTGCAGCCTTGACTGCAGGCTTAGGAGCTGCAGCCTTGGCTGCAGGCTTGGAAGCTGCAGCCTTTGCTGCTGGCTTGGAAGCAGCAGCCTTTGCTGCTGGCTTGGAAGCAGCAGCCTTTGCTGCTGGCTTGGAAGCTGCAGATGATGCAGAAATAGCAGCAGCAGCCGTGGCAGCGGCGGCACTCACAGCGTCAGCAGCAGCAACCACAGCATCAGCAGCTGAACCCACAGCAGAAACAACAGCACCCATAGCTGCAGCAGCAGCCCGGGCCACAGCAGGTCTCAACCGTGAAAAGCCTAAAGGAGCACGAGATTCCCACTTGCTGCTCACTTCAGCAAACCTACCAACCCTGTACGCCACAGCAGCTGATGTCAGGGGCTTCAGCTTTGGCGACAGCAGCAGCCTGTCACCCTCACTCCGTCCTGAGAAGCACCTGACAGTCGTGTCTCTCAGGTAGGCTTCATCAGCGTCCGTCCACTCGGTGATGAATTCAGAGGGGTCCACCTGCGAGTTTTCTGCCAGCCATTCGCAGTCACTCTCACTGTCACCAATGCTGAGAACACCAGACCTCAGGTACGCATCATCAGCAGCTGTCCACACTGTGATAAATTCAGCAGGGTCAACCTGCGCATTCTCAGCCAGCCACTCGCAGTCATCCTCACTGAGAGCACCATTTCTCAGGTATGACTCATCCTCAGCCGTCCACTCAGCAGTGATCAACTCACTAGGGTTCACCGAATTGTAATCCGCCAGCAGCAGCAGCGGCAGCAGCTCATCTTCATCAGTCCGAGTTGAGCTGCTCTTGACAGAGCCGCTTCTCAACTCTTTTTCATCCGCATCAGTCCACTCCGTCAGCCATTCAAACGGAGTGGAGTTTGCTGGCGAGCAGGCTACCCAGCTCGGAACGTCCCATATCTATCGTGCAGCGTCGCCGAAACAGGTAGCAGCAGCAACAGCTATAGCAAGGGCCGACTCAGGGTGAATAATGGCCATGGGATGTTAGGTGTGGGAGCTGGGGCGAACCAGCAACGGTGCAACAGCAGTTCAGGAGGGTTTCAACAAGATCTCCAGCGAAAACCAAGAGGACTAGAGAAGTGGAGTGATCACGCAGGATGTGATTCTAGAAAGGTTCGAGCAAACGAGGTGTGACTGAAGACAAGGAGCCAATCGATTTGCCATTTGAACTCACGGCTAGCCGAGGAATCGCCGTTTGCTTCCTGACCGTTGGTTGGTGGGACAGGCGGGGTAGCGCGGGTGGGAATGGGATGGGTCGAGATTAGATTTGGGACCCCACCAGCCCAGCGTCGACCCTTGTTCCGCTCCATCCCAGGTCGTCGGAGCCTCAAGGTCCCTCCAAACATTTTAACAGCGGTTGCTTGCCAGCGCATGAACATGGATCTGCTCGATCGACAGTCATTGGAGTTCCACGCTCATTCTAGAACTTTCAACAACGGTTACAATTGATCGCAAAACTTCCCCTTGCCAGCGCATTCCCGTGGACAACGCGAAATGAGCAGGCGGAGGAGGAAACGAGAGGCTGGGGTGCAATCGGACGGTGGAAAACACTCACGCCGACATTACAGCGCATGCAGTGATTGCACCGACATCATCGACCCGAACCGCATTTGACACACCGTCGACTTGAATCCACTCACGGTACGCGTGGCGAGTTTCCTCGACAAAATGCCTGGTCTCCGTTGACTACTCTGCAAGATCATGGTGAGCTGCGGTGAGACCATGCCAATGAAACTTAACCCATGGAAGACTTACATGACATGCACTGCTCTGTAAACTAAGGATGAGATGAGGACAAGAATGGAAGAATTGAGAGAAAGAGAGAAAGCAGGTGAAAGGGGGAGCAACCGAGCTGTTCTCTGCCCTCACCTGACCTTCCCCCCCACCCACCCCTTGCACTACCCATTGCCGGCCTCTTGGTATGTGAACTCCCCTCTGAATCCACCAAGTGAGTGGGCCGGCCTAGAGTCTTAAGACATGGGTGGAGGCGCATCATACCATGAAATGTGTATTGCATCAAGAATGGCTGATTCATGGGGCAATGGGAATCATGAGCGCAGTGTATGGAAATATGAATGGCGTGATGCATATGACACATGGAAAATGGAGATGAGGTGCGTGAATGAGATGCGTGATGCATGGGGAATGCGAACCACAAGCTTGCCCTGTCCTGTCATAACAAAACGTCTCGTCTCCATACCTCATACCCAACACTCATCTCACCTCGCCATGCTATAGCGACCGAGCGCTGAGCTTGAGCGTGTCAACTCTTCGACCAGATCTCATCTGACCTTCTCCTCCACATCCTCCCTCACCCTCACCATTGCCGAAGCCACTCCCCTCTGAAGCCACCTGCTGCACCAACTATGGGGCGGCCCAGAGTGGGCAGTAAGAGATGTCAAGGCTATCGGTCATGAGCTATAGGTGATGGGACATCATGGGTCATGGAGTCACGTGACAAAGGTATAAGGGCATCTGACCTCAGACAGTGGAATGGGTAAGGTTGACGGGCAATGGGAATCGAATCGCTGAGTCATGAGAGATGGGAATCAGAAGCGCAGTCGATGAGAAAAGGAATGTGTGATGCACTCGATACATGAATGAGATGCCTGATGCATAGGGAATGGGAATCATACGTTAGACGCATGAGAGATGGAGAGCGGGTGCCTCGGCATGGTAATTGGGATTCAAATGCTTCATGAATAGGCTTTTGGGACCACATGCCTCGTGCATGGGAAACGGAAA